CTATGTAGAAAACATCATGCTCGACCTCAGAAAACAGTTGTTCTAAACCATCAGCGTTTTCTTGCCTAATGTTGGCGAAGTAAACGGAAGCCATGGCAATTGTCTTGGAATTCCGTTTTTCTTTTTCTGTATTTTTATTGTGTTTTCAGAATTAGATTATTGTTGTAGGTAAAAACAAGTCTTTTGTAGTTACATTAGTTCGAGGCTCATATGGAATCCGATGGCGGTTTGGAGTCTGGAAATCAGCAACTGTTTATATGCTTGCTTTGATCGCACCAAAGATGAAAGACCAACTTGATGTCTAAGTCTTCTGTTTATTTTCCCTTTTTTTTTTTTTTTTTTTTTTTTTTCTTTTCCTTCTTTTGTATTCTTGGGTCACTACCTTGTATTTACCAATTTATCATCGTTAGGAATTAAAGGTTCAGCTCTGCACCAATTAGCCTCATAGTCATGACAGAATCTTGGAATTTGCTACGTATTGCAGTTTCTCAACGATTTGTAAACAAACATGATTCTCTAATAAACTCAACAATTATTAATCAGATATGCCATAGTTATTCTTCTTATTAACCTTATGATTTACTTCATTAATTAAATATATATTATACAAAAAATAAATATGTAACACTTCAATTTTTATTAAAAATGTTTTGAAAATTGGCTATGATATATATCTAAAGACTTGAATTTATACTTTGAGACATTTTTTTGAATATAATTGTTAGATATTCGGATTAAAATAAATGATAGCTAATAAAATAAATGTGAGTCTTCATAAATTATGATTGTTTTTAAATTCAATTTTTATGAAAATATGTATCCAACTTACCGAGATATTATATTTTTTGACTCAAATATTTTACGATTTTATCTCATAAAATATATATCATTAAATATGAATTTCAATCTACTTATATATCATAGTAAATTTTTAAAACATTTTGATGCAAGATATTTAAAATATCTCGATATAAAATTAAGATGTTCTAATTTTATAACTCAAGCAATTCGATACTTACCGTTAAGTTATAAACAAATCAAACTATTTAATATTTTTTAACACAAAAATTCAGTAAATCCTTCTTGTAGACACCCTATTTAGTCTGGATCCAAGCCCATTGGGCCTGGTCCAATAGGATTTGGGTCGAAGTCCATTGAACCCCGTTTAGGATCCAATTAGCTAGCCCCAATGGGTTTTTATTTTTATTTTCATTATTTAATATATATATATATATTTTTTTATCTATTAATATTTTTATTATTTATCTGTTTTATTTTTTTTATTATTATTTATCTATTTCTTTTATTTATCTAATTACTTTTTTTTGTTATCTATTAATATATTTATCTTTTTATTTTGATTAATTTTCGGTTAAGATTAGGATAAAAAATTGGAATGAATTTGGCTGTGATTTAAGAATTGGCAGAGTTTGGATTAGATTCAAAGATTGAATCCAAATTCCAGAAAGAGTTGGGATTGATCAAAAACTCTTCTGATCAATCCTTATAAATAGGTGCTGGAAGAATAGAAGAAGACACAGAAAAAAATATAGACACAGAGAAGATTTAAAAGCTGAAAAAGGGTTTTGGTGCATGAGAACAACCTTAGGAATCGGTGTGGAATTTTTGGAGAATTTTTTACGATTTTTTTTTGGAAAATTCTGAAAAATTTTCATATTCTAGTTCAATTTTCAGGCAAAGGTTAAATTTTTCGGTGACTTTTCTAGCCAAGTTTGAACTTTCCGATCAGCTGCCCAGTTTTCGGCAAGGATTTTCAGAAATCGACCAATTTTTCGTTGAACTTCCGGTAAAAAACTCAGATTTTAGCAAAAATTTTCAGAGTCCGGTGAGATTCAACCGGAGTTCTTCGGGTTTTAGAGAGAAGAGAGAGAATAGGAAGGGAAGAGAGAGAAAAGAAAGGCTCGATTTGCTGAAAAAAATGAAGGAATTAGCCTTTTTATACTCGCTGAAAACGACGTCGTTTTGGCGTTACTGTGCCCATAAGATCAGCGTGTTTTGAAATCGGGTGACCCGACCCGAGCGTCAACCCATGTTCAACCCGAGTGTGAGCCGTTTCTCGAGCCGAGCCGAGTCAAACTGAGTCGCGTCTTCGAGCTGTCCTTTCTTCTTCGAGCCGAGTCGAGCTGTTTCCAAGTTTTTTTTTCATTTTTTATTATTTATTTATTTTTTATTATTATTATTTATTGATTAGATTAGAATTGTTTAATACCTTTTATTTTATTTTATTTCTTTATTTTTATTTCCATTTTTATTATTTTTATTTTCTTTAAATAAAATGTAAAAAAAAATATTTTTAAGGAAAAGTTAAAAGTATCAATTTTTCTTGAAAATAAGCTTTCAAAAAAAATATTTTTAAGAAAAAGTTGAAAGTATCAATTTTCTTTGAAAATAAGCTTTCTAAAAAAAATATTTTTGGGAAAAAGTTGAAAGTATCAATTTTCCTTAAAAATAAGTTTTCAAAAAAAAGTTTTTGAGGAAAAGTTGAAAGTATCAATTTTCTTTGAAAATAAGCTTTCTAAAAAAAATATTTTAGGAGAAAAGTTGAAAGTATCAATTTTCCTTAAAAATAAGTTTTCAAAAAAGAATTTTTGAGGAAAAGTTGAAAGTATCAATTTTCTTTGAAAATAAACTTTCTAAAAAAATATTTTTGGAAAAAAATTGAAAGTATCAATTTTTTTAAAAATAAGTTTTCAAAAATATTTTTGAAGAAAAGTTGAAAGTATCAATTTTCTTTGAAAATAAGCTTTCAAAAAAAATATCTTTGAGGAAAAGTTGAAAGTATCAATTTTCCTTGAAAATAAGTTTTTCTAAAAAATTATTTTTGAGGAAAAGTTAAAAATATCAATTTTCCTTGAAAATAAGCTTTCAAAAAAAATATCTTTGAGGAAAAGTTGAAAGTATCAATTTTTCTCGAAATTAAGGTTTCTAAAAAATATTTGGGAAAAAGTTGAAAGTATCAATTTTTTCTGTACAAAAACAATCATTTTTTTCCTTTTTTATTTTCTTGAATTTTTTTTAATGTTAAATAATTCGACGATGGAGTCTCTGCAAGTGAAACAATAGTTTTCTTGCATACTCTTGAGGTGAGAGAATTTTTTTAATTTTCTGTTAAAAGTATTAGAGTCAATTGAAAATAATTTTCAATAATTAATTACTTGATAAATTTTTAAGGCTTATTAGATAATATAAAATTAAGCTGGTACCATCTTTTGATGGGCATTGTGAGGGTGCTATAACCTTCCTCACACGTAATCGAACTCCCGAACCCTGTTCTAGTTAGTAGACCCAAACTTATTTTTTTAGGGACCCTTAAACTTAGGTGTTCCCTGTAATGATAGATTCTTTAGGTGGCCAATCGCACCTAGATAAAAAAAGATTGGTGGCGACTCCTTAAGTCAATGTCTAGTGATAGATCCCTGGATCTAGACGTTATGACAGCTTGGCGACTCCATTGGAGACCTCTAAGAGTCAGGCCAGCAAATAAATTTGTGTTATCCAAAAGCCTAATAAAATTGAACCTTTTGTATAGATTTTTTATTCATTCATGTTTATTTACTTTATTAATTATGTCATTTATATGCATATGCATAACATGAGCTCTATACTCGAGCTCTGTCCTTCTAGGAGGGAGTAAAGTACCTATTGCTTTCCTGAGGTTTGATGCTCCGTAGTGGCTAGCGAATACTCCCATTCAAATTGAACCTTTTTCGCTTGTAACATATAATGAGTGAGGATTAAGGTGCCTTACTAGTTTGTGATGGACAATGATGTAAGGAGCAATTTGAAAACCTTTAGATTTTAACCTTGAACCACATATAGTGAACCTTAGAAGTGCCTAAACCTAGGATAAAGCTTTTTCTACCCAATGATAGATATACCTGAAACTAAGACACAAAAAGAGTGTTTATCTAATCATTTTGATTATCTAACTTTGTGCATCATTTTCATTATCATATGTAACATTATGTATCGACATCACTTTCAATTCATTTGTGAAACTAACCATGTTGTTTGTCTGATTTTATGCGTATGTATTATTTTCATGATCATGTTTTAACATTATCATTTACATCCATTTCATATTAGATTTCATTCATGAAAATGTACATTTCATTCGTCCATCAACGTATCATACATTAAGCATAGCATAGCATTTCTAATCATAATTGTGGTGCTAAAAGTTCAAGAATAGCTTCATCTAGCGAGAACCTTGTCCATCGATATAACACAATAGCCAGAGCCAGACAAATGGAGCAGAAAAACTCTCATAGATTTGAAAAGCTAAAAAAAGCACAGAAAAAGATTGAGAATGAGTTAAGTAAAATTTTGGATGCTATCAACAAATTAAATAAGGGGAAATGAGTAGAAGAGAACACAAGCCAACAAGGTCCTGTATCGCAAGAAGTGACTGACCCCCTATATCCACCTGATTTTGGTCCACCTCAAGCTCAGTCTACATAAGAGGTTCTACCATAACACTTCACATATCCTATATATCCTGGAATGCCATCAGCTTCTAATCCAGGGCATTACCATAGCTATGTGAATCCTATCTTTACTGAAAAGGTAGTTGAACCGATTCAAATCTCTGATCTGGATGAACTGAAAGAAAAAGACAAAGAAAAGATAAAAGTGGAAGCTCATGAAAACTCTAAAATTAGTATGCTAGAACAAATGCTATGGGCTGTGAAAGGAATTGGTTTCTATGGTTCAGTTGATGCTGCTGGGCTTTGCTTAGTCCCTGATGTGGTCATTCCTCATAAGTTTAAAGTACCAAAATTTAAAAAATATGATGATACAAAATATCCAAAAACTCATATTACCATGTATTGTCGAAATATAACAGCCCATGCTCATGACGAAAAGCTACTAATGCATGTTTTCTAAGATAGTCTTACTAGTTCTGCTATTAGGTGGTATATCCAGTTAGACAGAACATGCATCCATTCCTAGAGTGACATGGCCCATGATTTTATCAATCAATATCGATATATCATGGATTTGTCCTCTGATCGTTTGTCTTTACAAAACCTGGAGAAAAAGGCCAATGAGACTTTTAAAGAGTATACCCAGAGGTGGAGGGATATTGCTTCTCAAGTATAGCCTCCTCTGACTGAGAAAGAAACTACAGTGTTGTTTGTCAGCATTTTGAAATTTTCCTATTATGAAAAATGATAGAGAATGCAACAAAGAATTTTATCGACATGGTGATCTCTGGAAAAATTATTGAAAGTGCCATAAAAATAGCAAGTTGAAAGGAGGAGAAACCAAGAAGGCATCAGAAAAGAAAAAAACTAAAGCACAAGCTGTGAGTTTTGATAGACAACAATTTAGGGTTATCAACCCTATCCACCCTAAGATTACTCTTCGTACTATCTTGCTGTGAATAATGCCTCATCCTACCCATACCAGCTAGTTTCACAACCACCTTATTCATCCACATACCGATCAATTTTTAGCCCTCAAGATCTTACATATAGCCTTAACATTCAAGCTCTTGCAAGAGCCTAAATTTTCCCTAGTAACCCAACAAGTGGTTCACGAAAGCAACAGATTACTCAAGAAAAATCTGCATTTGATCCAATCCGTATGACTTATACGAAGTTATATCGAGAACTCTATAATAGCCATTTGATTGCCCCCAGCCATGTGGAGCCACTTAAGTCACTCTATCTTAAGTGGTATGATCCTACAGCCCACTGCGACTACCACTATGGAATTGCTAGCCATTCTACTGAAAATTACACTACTTTAAAGCATAAGGTGCAACGGTTGATCAATGATGGAATGGTAAGTTTTGATCAAGGAAAAGCAACAACACCTAATGTTAGTGGCAATCCACTACCATATCACAATGTTAATGCTTTTAGTGAAAGTCAAGAACACATTGGTCAAAAAGGGTCCGGAGAGTCACAATGAATTGAGGGGCAAGATGTCAATAAAGATTCTTCACCTGATCGCATAAGGAGACAATTTTGGAGAATGGAGATAAGGCTGGTTGAAAGATTTTTTTTTGTCATTTTAAGATTTCTTTTAGAGTAATGTTAGGTTTCTTTTAGGCAGTAGGATTTCATTTGTTATCATTTCAATAAAAGGTAATTTAATGCATTTCATTACATTTTTTTTTCTTTTCACTCAACCATTGTTTCGTGCTTTGTCGCATTTCATAACTTTTCACTCCCATTCTTAAATTTCAGATGATGAATATTTAAGACAATGATAACAATAATTCTGGAATTTAATTTTGAGAAGTCATCCACATTAATATGAGGAGATGATTTGAGCAAAAAAATAAGCTGTTACCAGAGGTGAAATAGATATGTCTTAAAGATGTGCAATCTTTTATACAGGTTCATGAGCTCTGTTCAATAGATGATGTTCAAGAAAGGTATTCACAATTGAGATAAAAAATGGCCATCTTTCTTTACCATTCGAAAAACCATTTATTGTTACCCCTTTGAGCCTATTATGATTTTTTTTTCTGAAGAACCACAATCAAAGATCACCCTCTACATTGGAGGGTAATTTTTAAAAAAGAATATATCACAAAAGGTCTCAAAGATAGAAAAAAAAAGAAAAGCAAAAGAAAAAAAATGCCACACATGATTTGAGGTAAAGTAATGAGAATTCTTTGTGTGAAAAAAGAAAAAATAGTGAAATGATGTAGGGGTAAAATGTCAAGTTGCATCAAATGATCTTGATTTTAAACCTTTTTAATACATGTTTTGAGCCTATTATATCCATTTCTTTTAAGACCCCTCACCTTGACCTACATTACAACCTTGAAAAGTCCATTTGGATCAAGTGTGAATGTTCAAATTGAATGATCATATATTGGGTAAAGACATGCTCATGATGAAACAATGGAATCATGCTACATTGCTCTAAAACTGATGTGTGAAAGATATCAACAATGGATGAAAAATGAGAAAAAAAAAAGAGAGAAAAAATAGAGGAAAAAAATGAGAAAATGAAAAAAAAGAGATTCAAATTGAAAACCTGAAAGGGTGATTTTGGTAGAAAAAGATCCAGGTCAAATGGTTCACATAGATGAAAGATCAAAGATATCTGAAGATCCCTCAAAGACGGGGCAAAGTTCGTCAAGCTCAAAATGACTTCAACAGTAAATGAAATGAGTTTTTGAAAAAAAATCCTAGATTAATGTTGAGAATTGTCTGAATCTTCATCGTTTGGACATACCATTCATCCCAATGACATGTATCCAATTTCCATTTGTTTTGTACCAAAATAGATCTTCATTGATTATCTTTACTATAATTCACCTCGTGTTCTCTTATTATTACATTCCTAGAATAAATCAAGAAAATATATGAGTGCATTATAATTATCAAGAATTGAAATGATAATGAATGAATGACAATATGCATAAAAAAGTATTGCATTCTTTTAAAGAGAAATCTAAGATGATGGTGGTAACAAAATGAAGAAATGGTAGAAACCTAAAATAGATGATTTGAAAGGATATATGATGTGACCAAATGGAGAATATGATGATGGATTGGACAATAAAATGAAGATGGGGTAAATCTTGAAAAGTGGTATAACCAAATGATGAGTATAAGGATGAATTAGTCGATATGACTTGCAAGTTATGATTGAATAATGAAAATAATCAGTGGACAAAGTTTGTTTTAGAATGGTTAATGCTGAGACACCTATGAGTAATGACCCAGTGATGGTGGATGAAACTTGTTCTAAAATTTGTTAGTGCTGAGAAGTCCATGAATGGTGGTCAAGTGATGATCGATTGATGAAACTTATTCCAAAGTATTGAGAAACTGAACAAGGAAGATATGCGAAATGGTGGAGTTTTGAGAGCCATATTACTATAATTATTTAAAATTTTATGACATAGACGTCTGCATTACATGCATCATGCAGGCATCATTGCTTGAATAATACATACACATAATTTGATGAATTAAACTTTATTTGGACATGCATGGCACTATGAGAATATAGGTTACCGCATTTACATCATTAAGAAGGTATTTGCAACTTTGGTCATAACATTCATTCATGCAAATTTTTGAGTCACTTGAAAAAAATTATGAATATTTTGATGAGAATTTTTGAGAACTCAAATGAGAATCTTCGATTTTCAAAATGAGAATCTTTGAGGAGTGAAACCCTAAAGTTCATCGAATGTGAATCTTCAAACTAGAATGAAAAGTTTTAAACTTTTGGATGTGAATCTCTAAAATACAAAGCTTCAACTTTTTGGATATGAATCTCTAAATTTTTTAAATGAGAACCTTTGAACTTAGATGTGAAACTCTAAGTTTTATTGCTGAGCCTTTGAACTCAAATGAGAAGCTTTGAATTTTTGGATGTGAATCTCAAGCTTGCTAAATGCGAACCTTTAAAAAGCCTTGAACTTTTAGATGTGAGCCTCCAAAATTCCAATGAGGATCTTTGATGCGAGTCTTGCAAGTTGCAAATGCAAATCTTTAGATCTTGCAAATTTGAACGAAACTGAAATTTTGAGAATCAAATTTCAGTAAATTCTTACGAAGTTGAAAAGTTCTTGCGAATCTGAACCTATGAATGTTGAACTCAAATTGTGAATCTTTGAGTTCCCATTACAAAATTTTTTCAATCACGATCTATAACTCCTTTGGACATGTTGTCAAGGAACAATTTACTTTTCAAAGTTGTGGTGCCTTTGTTTAGAGGAGTAATTTGTTTTTCAAAGTTGTGGTGCCTCTATTTAGATGAGCAATTTACTTTCCAAAAGTTGAGGTGCCTTTATTTAGAGGAGCAATTTACTTTTCAAAGTTGTGGTGCCTCTATTTAGAGGAACAATTTACTTTCCAAAAGTTAAGCCTCTGATTAGGAGAGCCATTTACTTTTCAAAAGTCGTTGAGCCTTTGATTAGAGGAGCTACTTACTTTCCAAAAGTTGTTGAGCCTCTGATTAGAGGAGCTTTAGTTATTTTCAAAGTTGTTAAGCCTCTGATTAAAGAAGCCATTTACTTTTCAAAGTCGTTGAGCCTCTGATTAGAGGAGCCATTTATTTTTTCAAAGTCGTTGAGCCTCTGATTAGATGAGCTTGTTTATTTTTCAAAAGTCTTTGAACCTCTGATTAAAGGAGCTTTGTTTATGTTTCTCAAAGTCGTTAAGCCTCTGCTTAGAGGAGCTTGGATCAAAATTTTAACAAAAAAAAAATAAAAAATTAAAACAAAAAAATAAAAACAAAAAAAATGTCTAGTTGAGTCTTGAATGTGTGTCTACGTCTTTGCACAATTCCTGCTTCATAGAAAATGTGCAAAAAGGGACAACTGTAGACACCCTATTTAGTCTGAACCCAAGCCCATTGAGCTTGGTCTAATAGGATTTGAGTCTAAACCCATTGGACCCGGTTTAGGATCCAATTAGCTAGCCCCAATGGGTTTTTCTTTTTATTTTCATTATATTTTTTATTTTTTATCTATTAATATTTTTATATTTATCTGTTTTTATTTTTTTATTATTATTTATCTATTTCTTTTATTTATCTAATTATTTTTTTGTTATCTATTAATATATTTATTTTTTTATTTTGATTAATTTTTGGTTAATATTAGGATAAAAAATTAGAATGAATTTGGCTGTGATTTGAGAATTGGCAGAGTTGAGATTGGATTCAAAGATTGAATTCAAATTTCAGAAAGAGTTAGGATTAATCAGAAACTCTTTTGATCAATCCCTATAAATAGGTGCTGAAAGAACAGAAGAAGATACACAGAAAAAAAGACAGACACAGAGAGGATTTAAAAGCTGAAAAAGGGTTTTGGTGCGTGAAAACAGCCCTAGGAATCGGTGGGAAATTTTTGGAAAATTTTTTATGATTTTTTTTCTGGAAATTTCTAGAAAATTTTTAGATTTCGGTTGAATTTTTTGGTGAAGGTTAAATTTTTCGGTGACTTTTTCGGCCAAGTTTAAACTTTTCGGCCAACTACCTAGTTTTCGGTAAGGATTTTCAGAAATCGACCAACTTTTCGACGAACTTTCGATGAAAAACCCAAATTTCGATGAAAATTTTCAAAATCCGGTGAGATTCAACCAGAGTTCTTTGGGTTTTAGAGAGAGGGGAGAGAAGAGGAAGGGAAGAGAGAGAGAGGGAAGGCTCGGTCTGCTAAAAAAAATAAAAGAATTAGCCTTTTATACTTACTGAAAATGACGTCGTTTTAGCGTTACTGTACTCATAAGATCCGCACGTTTTGAAATCGGACGACTCGACCCGAGCGTCGATCTGCTTTCGACCCGCGTTCAACCTGAGTGTAAGCCGTTTTTCGAGTCGAGTTGAGCCAAGCCGAGCCACGTCCTGGAGCCGTCTTTTCTTCTTCGAGTCGAGCCGAGCCGAACCGTTCAAGCCGAGCCATTCTCAGGTTTTTTATTTATTTATTATTATTATTATTATTTATTGATTAGATTAGATTTGTTTAATACTTTTTATTTTATTTTATTTTATTTCTTTATTTTTATTTCCATTTTTATTTTATTTTATTTTATTTTCTTTAAATAAAATTAAAAAATATATATTTTTATGAAAAAGTTGAAAGGATCAATTTTCCTTGAAAATAAGCTTTCAAAAAAAATATTTTTGAAGAAAAGTTAAAATTATCAATTTTTTTGAAAATAAGCTTTTTAAAAAAATATTTTTGGGAAAAAATTGAAAGTATCAATTTTCCTTAAAAATAAGTTTTCAAAAAAGGGTTTTTGAGAAAAAGTTGAAAGTATCAATTTTCTTCAAAAATAAGCTTTCTAAAAAAAATATTTTTGGAGAAAAGTTGAAAGTATCAATTTTTTTAAAAATAAGTTTTCAAAAATATTTTTGAGGAAAAGTTGAAAGTATCAATTTTCCTCGAAGTTAAGGTTTTTAAAAAATATTTTGAGGAAAAGTTGAAAGTATTAATTTTTCTTGAAAATAAGTTTTTTTAAAAAATATTTTTGAGAAAAAGTTGAAAGTATCAATTTTGCTTAAAAATAAGCTTTAAAAAAAATATCTTTGAGGAAAAGTTGAAAGTATAAATTTTTCTCGAAATTAAGGTTTTTAAAAAATATTTTGGAAAAAAGTTGAAAATATCAATTTTTCCTGTACAAAAACAATCATTTTTTTCCTTTTTTATTTTCTTGAATTTTTTTTAATGTTAAATAATCCGACGATGGAGTCTTTGCAAGTGAAACAATAGTTTTCTTGCATACTCTTGAGGTAAGGAAATTTTCTCAATTTTTTGCTAAAAGTATTAGAGTCAATTGAGAATAATTTTTAATAATTAATTACTTGGTAAATTTTTAAGGTTTATTGGATAACACAAAATTAAGCTGGTATCATCTTTTGATTGGTGTTGTGAGGGTGCTATAACCTTCTTCATACGTAACCGAACTCTCAAACCCTGTTTTAGTTAATAGACCCGAACTTATTTTTTTAGTTACCCTTAAACTTAAGTGTTCCCTGTAATGATAAATTCTTTAGGTGATCAATCACACCTAGATAAAAAAAATTGATGACAACTCTTTAAGTTAATACTTAATGATAGATCTTCGGATCTAGACGTTATAATACTTCTCTCTGCTAGTACTTTCCACTATTACTTTAAAGTTGATGCAATTTTAATGCCTTCAGTTCCGTCTGAAATTGTTATTTCAAAACAAATGTTGAAAGAAACTTGAAAGGTTTTTATTTTTTTTAATAGAAGAGTAAAAGATACGACTTAGAGTTGTAAGGCTTTACGCTTTGTTACTTCTAACGAGTCTTCTTACATTAAGTTAATAACTCTAAATGGTGGGTCACCTAAAACATAATAATTATTAGTTCGACTAAAAGCCTAATTAATCATGTAATGAGCACGAAAGTTTCTCTCTAAATATATGTTGGATTTTGCAATTTCAATCTTTTCTAATAAATTATTAACACTGACGAATAATATAATAAAGGAGGTCTTGCACACTAATAGTAATGCTTATAACTTTCGTCGTCGCCAATGATGAATTTGATTCAGATTCGATAATCAATATTCAAAAACTTCTATTCCGTACTAACATCAGTTTCATCTGAATAGCATGTAACTCAACCTTGAGAATCAAATCATATCCAATTTTCTAAAAAATCCAAACATCTAAAAATCATTAAAATCTCTCCCACTACCACCTATAACTAATTCACCTCAATTAGATAAAGCAACACCACCCACTTTGATAAAAGCATATAGAGGGGGGATCTAAGTAATAAGCGAACATTTGAGTATCATCCCATTTTGAAAAACAAAGATTTACTAAATCAACATCTAAGTATAAAAACACAACTCCAATAAACAAAAAAAAAAAAAATCATATGAGAAACCCCATTTACAAACTTCTAAAAAATCAAAACTCTATAAATTGGAAAATAGTTTGTATCAAAACCACAAGACAAAATGGTAGAAGCTAAACTCAGTCTCAACATGCTAGTCATAAAAAGGGCAAACACCAGCAGATGATGAATCAATGTTCGTAGGTGGAAAAGACAACTCTTGATGTAAGCAAAAAGCTTGCAGCTGTTACAATGCATGAGACTGAGAGGCTCTTTTCCTGGTCATCTTCAAACAGAAATCAACAAAACCTTAAACATTTTCTTGTCCTCGGCAAGATCAGCATAAGCCCAAGCATGTTGTTGATGCTCAAATTCTGCTTCTTCATCATCAGAAATAAAACTTTTGCACAAATCAGGGAAATGATATTAGAGGAATCAATCCCCGTGAGCAAACCCCTTAATAAAGCTAATATAGTTTTTTGGTCCCTTTTGATGCAAATCGTGTTTGAAATTAAAGCTAATATGAACTTTTCAGCAACATTGAAATTTTAGCATATCAAAGAGTAAAAGGAACTCTAGTTGCCAAAATTGTGGTAACATTTAATACCAAAATTGTGCTATCAACATGTAAAACTCGTATTTTGATCATATGCACGTACTTCCAATTATCTCTCAATGAACAAAAATTGTTAGATTTCAGGCAACAAATTGACACAATAGCTACGGAAAACAAACAGCTCAATTCTAGTCAATAATAATCATAATAAATTTTATCTAAATCAATCCATGCATCAAATGAAAAATATAAATCACAAATATTGCATGCAATAAAGGACAAATATAGAACATTAAATATTTGTGAAAAATTCTTCCGTCTAAAGGGAAAAATTATGGGACAAAATCCGAATCAAATTCATTATTCCAAATAGGCAAGTTCAATATCTCAACCTTTTGGCCAAAGCAGGCAAAAAATTACATTCTCTCTCAGGTACATTCAACAATATACTAAAGAAGTTATTCTACGCCTGAAGGATATTAAAATCAAATCAAGTTGGCATCTGGTACCGGCACAATGGGCACAAGTGACTCGTCTCCAGCCACCTAATGATGCAACCATCATGATAAACATGTCCACAAGGCATCGAGGCAACTTCGTCACCGTCCAAGAACTCATCCGTACAGATACTACATTCTTCCTTTGAACTCAAACCCTCGATTAATCTCCTCTTCTTGAAGGGCAAATGACTATCATCACCCCATTTAATCCTTTTCAAAGCTTGAATAGATGACCTACTAGCAGGCTTAAAATTCAATGTACTCAATGAGTCATCAATTGCCTGAGCAACCCCATCATCAGTATTCACCTCAACAATTACTTCCACAATCAACTTTATTACTTTACGTCCAAGGTTAACAGGCTCATTGTCAATCTCCCGTGCAATAAACAAGATATCAGGAACAATAACAGTTTGAAGGAATTGATCGGTAGGATCAATCGTGGAGGCAAACATGTAAAGTAGGGTGTTTGGACCAAACTCTTCAGATAAAAATATGTCACGACGACATGTGAAAGATGAATTAAAAGTTTCTAAGATTGTTTCAGGATCGAGTGATGAAACGTAACAATACTCAAATACTACGTAGAAAACATCATGTTCGACCTCAGAAAGTTGGTCTAAACCATTATCGTTTTCTTGCCTAATGTTGGCGAAGTAAACGGAAGCCATGGGAATGTTTTGGAGGTCCATTTTTCTTTCTGGATTTTTATTGTATTTTCGGAATTAGATTTTGTTTGTAGGTAAAAACAAGTCTTTTATAGGTACATTAGTTCCAGGCTTATAAGGAATCCGATGGCGGTTTGGAGTCGGAAATCAGGTAATTTTATATGCTTGCTTTGATTGCACCAAAGACAAAAAATCAACTTGATGTCCAATACTCTTGTTTTTTTTCCTTTCGTTTTTTATTTCATCTTTTATATTTTTTCCTTGCATTTACCAATTTACGGTTTACATAATTTTGTAATATTTTATTATTTTTCAATATCGAAAGCAAAAATAAAAAATTGTCATTTTTTCCCTTGAATACCTTGAATGAATGAATCAGGTTGAAAATAGGGTTTCAATGCAAACATAAAAATAAAGAAAGCAGGAAGCTATAGATTGTTTTTATATCATATTTTACGCATCTAGAAGCGATTACCAGTGACACAAAAACTATTCTACTAGACATTTTATTTACACATTTTTCACCACTCTTTTTCAGGTGAAGTGTGCTTAGTCTCACATGAAAATGAGGGGCAAACAAAGAATGAAAAACTGCGATTTACACTGAAAGACTGATAGCGAAACTCCGAATACATATTCATTATTTCAAGTAACTGACCCCAGTGATATCAAGTTTGCTACAACTACAAAACTCTCTTTAGAAAAACTTAGATCAAATTGCGTTTCTAGAAATAAATAATTGATTTGAGCTCCTAAAGATATGTGATATAATGTCTCTCCGCTGCTTTAATCTCCAAGTGCGTCCAAAAAGTTGAATGATGACAACTTGTGAAACAAACTGAAGCATAAAAACTCATAAAACTTTCACTCAGAATTGCCACTCAAATATGTACAAGAAACCCGGAGTAGGAAGCCACTCAGATTCTTGTCATCTTTTTTTTTGGCGTGTTGCTTCTTGTCATCTGACTTTGTAACTTTTTGCTTTGTGCTCCATGCAATCCCAAATAGAGATCTGAAACCTGCGATCTGAACTGAGGAAGCTTGAAACTGTAATGACATTTTCATTTGGATTTCGCCGACGAACATGTACAAGAAACTCAACATAAGAGTGGCCACTTGCATTCTTGTCTTCTACCATGCATGAGAGGAACGGCATTCCTGAAAATGTAACAGCTAAATCATAAGAATGTCATAATATATATTTTTTGTTAATAAAAATAATAATACAGCAATCACTCTGAGTCACTGACAATAAGAAACCTGCAAGCATAGAAACAATAGCACAGAAGCTATTTGCTTCATTGTCACAAAAACAAGGCAAACATTTTTGGACACCCACGAAACACCTACTCTCCCTCTCCAATTACAGAATGAGAGAACTTTAAATGGTGCACGTTGAAAGAATTTTTGTAGTGAGCGTGAGTTATGAAAAGGAGAGTGGACATCGAAAACAAAAGGAAAAAGGACTATATAAGAGAAATCAATGGCAATTTTGGTTAATATTCCACACAGGTTATTTATCAAGCAATATCATAGTTTGCATGCGGGGAAGAGTTCTATGTACTGACCAGATGGATCCCCTTTCTTGCACAATTTCAAGCAGCAAAAGAATATAAAGATAAAATGCATTAAACAGTGAAATCTTCTTCAAGTTTCCATAAAAGAGATGGAAAAAAGCTTTCTTTTAGGGAAAAAAAAGTACAGCTAAGAAAGAACCATTAATCATACCGAAGGTAGGAACATCTTTGGAACCAAATAACATTTACTCCATTGAACTTCGTCGATAATGAATTGTCATATTGCTGCTTCACAAACTTAACATGCAGAAATGTAGAAAAAAGGGCACAAGCGTCACTACAAGGTAGGTGAAAGGTTCATGACACAGGATAAAGCTAAAAAACATATTATGAAAATTGACACCCCAAATACCCATCCTTTTCCATGGTTTGTTTTTCATTTTTCTTTTCCCACCTTTACTCTTTGACACGTTACAGGAGATAACCCTAACCCAATAATCCTAACACTTGAATCCGAGGCCACTTATTTGAGTGTCATACTATTCAGTCATCAAGAACAAGACCTTTCAAGACTCTTCTCATCCAATCCGAAACCCACATACTCCATAAATCACCAAGGGAAATTCACACTATTAAAAGGAAGGAAGAGGAAACTGAGCATGCAAACAAAATCCCATCATACAAGGAGTTTTAAGTGCTATTTTGAACTAAAACATAGATGTGGTCAATTTAATATAATTGGACATTTGATTTGAGTATTTAAATAGTGAATTCATTTTTTAAATAAATAGCATAACAAAATATCCTAAGTTTGCTCATCTTGCAGCAGATACCAAACCTTACTAGTCTCAACGCTTTACGTGTGATTATGTTCACAACTCACAAGTTGTTTCTTATTTATTAACCAGTTAATGAGAATTTTAGTAGACATATACACCCAAAAGGAATTAAAACAAAATACCTGAGTGCAGACCTCCTCCACAGAGGTAAAGCCAAAAGGTTGTTGCAAGATACTTGAATCCACTGAGCTCCCAAAACATATTAAAGTATCCTAACCATTCTCAAGAGATAGATTCCATCATCCTTGACATGTTCACTAGCAAGTGGGATTATAGAAGGAAGACCAGACTCATCCCCTTCCTGTCCGATGAGCAGAAAATTGTCTGTTAGCATGGTTGAAACACTCTCGACTGTAAGCTAACAAGAAAATTTTACCTTTGAATTAAGGTTGTGGATGTCAAACATCCTGGGATAAACCAGTGGGACTGCCAAAGAAGTAGAAGGGAGGAAGCATAATTGAACCGGTAGGAATGATCATCTATTCTGCCATCATTTCTCAACCCTGTGCTCTTCATTAATGCTGTAAAAAGAAGACAATTATCAACCGAACGAAAATATCTCAAATTTTTCTGAAGAAGATGACCAAATTTCTGCTACGGTATTTGCCAAAATGGAAGATATGAAGTTTGAAGATGGAGTTTAACCCAAAATAATAATAATGAAAGAGTACGGGATACAGAATAATCTAGAACTAGGAATCAGGTAGATAATTAGCAAAATGAAACATATATACTGAAGCTTAAGAGCCTCAGGAAGAATAAGCTGTCTAGATGATGATACTGTGGCGCAAAATTTACGATAAGAAAGCAGAATGTTGATGCAAAGATTTGTCACTTTCTCCCTCACTTGCACGAGTGGGCTAGTAGGAATTTCAATGGCAGCTTCATTCAATGTAAATTAGTAAAAAGCAAAACGTGGTCCAGATTCTTGCACATCAAATTAATGATTCCGGGAAGAAAATTCCAAGAAAATTCTGCAAATAAAATAACCAATTAACTCCTCATTCATATGGAAAGGATCAATTCATAATTTGAAAAACAAAGGAGAAGAGGAGCTTCTATGAAATGACAGCTTGAAGCAGATAAAACATGGCATGAGAGGGAAAAGAACGATTAACATAACCAATTAATATGCACAATCAATTCACCAAATAGGGAAAAGAAAGTAAAGAAAGACGTACAATGCAGACTCAAATACCTTGCTTTAAGAAACAAGTGAATTGAGTATCCAAGTCAGCAGAGCGAATCAAATTACTTAGCATATTTGTGCATGGCAAGGATAAGTTTGTGTCTCAAATTCTTCTTTGCCCCTAAACAGTGGTATAGAGAAGTGCACACTGGAAAGAGAAAGCCAGAATATTACCCAAGCATCAGAACTCTCAAATTCTTGATGCTAACAAATAATGTACGAAGCATGACATTAAAAATTCAGACACCGTTAGGTTACTACCTGAAAAGCACATTCAGAACCATCGTGTAATTTATCATCATGCTTTAAGGTTACTAATATGCATTTGTCACAGTCAATCTGCATAGCAGAGAGGATTGTTCATGATTGAAACAAATTGATACTAGATAAAACACTCAAAAGCTGCTTGGGCAAAACTTAACCATGCAAATAAACCCTCCAAGCAGTAATACGTGTAAAGTTTCTTTGAAGAAAAAATTTATATATATAAGAAGCAAAGTTACCAAATTCATGAGTTACAAAATTATGGCTGACAAAAGCACAAAAATACATCGGTGGCAGGAGACAAATGCTGAATAAAATATCACATTATGGAATCTGTTATATGATACTAAACAAAAAAGCTAGATCAAATTTTTTAATATAAGCATAGCTGTACCAGTATGTTGCTCCGAGGCTTAATTTTTCTTCAAGTAACCATGTTACACACATAGAACAACTCAAAGTCGAAATCAATTATGAAGATAATAACTCTTCAAACAGAATGATTTTACTAAGGGAAATTTGAACAAACCCCTGTCAGCCACATACCATGCCTGAAAATATCTCAGGTCCAAGAATATACCAACTAAGCAAACCAACCATCCAGAAGCAGTTATACATCTCCTTCAATAAGTCCTCATTCATCTCCATAGCTCATTTATAGTGCAATTATAAGATTGACTTAAATCACAACTATGAGAAAATACAAAATATTTTCGCTAAAAATTAAAGACTGATTGATTGGATTTCAAACACCTTGGCGAATGTAATCGATGAAAGACATAATGAGAAACATAAGCCAGAGTATTTTTCAAAAAGTGCACAAACCCCAGGTAGGTCAATGTCAGTTGGAATGCGTTTGCAAAAGTTTTCGGAGTAATCTTGAACTTGAAAACCCTACAAGTATTTAAAGGGATGAAAAAGATTGAAATAGGGTTAATTACCATCATAATGTAATGAAGTCAATTATCAATATTTCACTAATGAAACAGAGCAAAACATCAGAAAACATTACCTGGCTGCATCTCACACGCATGACAGCCTCAAAACCTTGGGCCCTAGTGATGTTCCATCTAAGGTCATTGTAGAGCTTTGCAGAATCAGAGACCGCAGAGAAGGGGTAATAATAGTACACCTGGAATTTAGAGAAAATATGTGTTGAAACAAGAGTCTTCCACTCAAGAAAAAACTCTGTAGTCCTGGTACTGAAGACCTCAT